GTCATGGCGTCCATGTCTAAGAAAAGTAATATGGAAAGTGTTCTTCTTGGGAGAAGTTTCCTCCAAACACAAAGACATGGCAGAGGGCCTTCCAGTCACACCTGCAGCTTTTCTCCGTCCAGTTGACCAGGGACCAGGCGATAAGAACCCACGATCGACATGGCGTCCGAGAAAACCACCACCAGGAGCTGTTCAAATGCCTCCAAAAGCTATTTACATTATGCAGCCAACACAAGGGTTGTGCACTACAAAGATGTTGAGTTACGTTCTAAAGAAACGAAAAATCCTGAATCCCGATACTAAAAATATCATGATACCAAAAGTCATGATACAAATCGGACACAAACAAAAAGAAACGTCCATAGACCAATTCCAGCGACCGCTCAGTTTCTCTCCTGAAGCCCCCCCCCCGACGCCTCGAAAAATGGCGACCACGTCTTCTTCGAGAGATTGGTCAAACAAGGAGGGCGACTGAGGATGTTCCTTCTGAAAGAATCGGGATGGTCTACGACGAGGTTTTCCGTCAACCACGTGCCCCAATGGTTTTTTCCACCTCTGGTTTCACCTTGCCACAACGGTGCCAGAACGGCGCCGTTCTATGCCTGGACACGTCATCGGTAAGGCCACATCCGTCCAGGGGAGCACTGCAAGGCCTGCAAGGCGCAGACGGAAGCTTCGGGGAAATAGACCAGCAGGGGTCTTCCTATCTTGGATCCTCTGGACCAAACATTGGATTCATTGGATTCATCAATCATCTGGACCAAACATGGAGAGTTGCGCCGTCTGGCCGAGCCGCCATGGTCGGCTTTGGCTCTGAAGGCCGAAAAGCCGGTTGGCTAGGTGGAGGAGATGGGGCATGAGGCCCCCCCCTCTCCATGCCAGGATTTCCCTGGACAGGTCGTGTATTTGTCCCAATTGGCGTGTCATTGTTCGCAATTTCAAGAGACAAATGTGCGCTTTTTCAAGTCTTGACTTCGTCATTCACATAATCACGTTCATTAAGAGGTACCCTGAGTTGTCAGAGTCGCCACGCAGGCCAGGTGTTCCTCTCATTCTTGGTACTCTTTCCGGGACCGGGACCAAGCAGCCTTGCGCAGCCTCGTCTCGTGGAACGTTTAGTTCAAGCGCGATGAACACATGGAAGACCGTGAAGCACGAAACGGGTTTGTACTTCAATAGGAAGACCTCCAACCAATGGGTAGACTGGTCTAATTCCTTTCTTCGATCTGGGAGGTCTCCCCGAGTCTCCCTTTTCGAATACACCCCCACTTCTATAGATCAAGCTTTGAATGGAATCTCTCCCACATGTCTCATGGGCGTAAGAAAACTGCCTTTGTCCGCACTGCAACATGCCTTTGGTTTAAGAGTCACTCAAAGTGATAGCTTTTGTCACACCGCGCATTTTCTTGATATGATCAGGGCTGCTGAGAGTTAGAGGCTCAAGGAATCTCAAGGATATCTGTACCCCCACGTCACATCCGATCTGAAAGACTGAAAGAGCATCGGAAAAAAAAAAAAAACGTCCCGGTAGGTGACCCTGAGGGGTCAACCTCAGCGAGCTGGATCGAGCAAAGTCGGGTGTTGAATTCGGCATTCCACATGAGCAATGCAACCGCCCAGCCAACCCCTTTTGTGCCCAACCGCCCGCCCCCTGCGAGCCGCTTTTTTGGCTGTCTCCAACACCCACACGACAGCGGTGTCTGGGTGGCACCTCCTCGCCCATCCTTTGCACGGCAGGAGGAGCTTTCCGCCTTTTCGACGGTGAGCTCTTCACCAATCTTCCAGTCGCCTCCATACCTGTGGGAGCAGGTGAAAGTTGTTTTTGAAACATCACACACGAGCACCTTCATGTCGGGGTCACCTGGCTGGTTTCGCCCCTACACTGCGATTTTCTCCATTGGGCACCCCGACAGGAAGGTCCAGGCATGAAAGCGTTGATGTTGAATGTGTTTGCTTTGGACGGAAACAAGGATGGACAAGGTCGATTTCTCTATCGATGAAACCGGTGGTGAGAGGCAGCTCCATCTTGTTTGGAGAGCCGGGTTTGACGCCTGTGGACAGCATCGGATTAGGGCGATTTGGGCGATTTGGGTGATGTTCCGTTCACCCAAGTCTTAGGAGCCTATCAGATTTCAGTTCTACATCGACATGTAGGTCCAGTCAACATCCTGAACCATCAAACATGATCCCAATTGACATTGATAGGTCCTGATCGGTGAAAATCCGCTGGAGGACGACTGCTCACACAAATCCTGCTTGGTGAGTCAAGTCCATGTTCTACCAGGATTCCTCAATGCATACTCCTCTGCAGATTAACATGGAACCCCCACACCCACTTGATTGGAAGATGGTCTTGCACGGGTCCAGTCTCAGGTTCCATGTAAGTTTGTGGGAGGGTAATCACCCCAACTGACTGCGTGACGCAGCGGCTGCAACTTCCAATCGTCGCGGTGAGGCCAAAAGAGGATGGTGTCACCGGCCACCAGCTCGTGCAGCGACGAGGGAAGCCCTGCACAGGGCTTCGCCAGCTGCGAGAACCGAGTGCTTTTCTTGATGGAACTGCTGGGGGAACAGGAGTTTGGTCCTGCTGCTGATGGAGGAGTGAGAAGAACAGAACTCGCACCATTCAGAAACCGCGGATTCGGAAACTAGGATTCATCCCCCACCCCCCAGTTTCTGAATCGGATAGTTTCTGAATCGGCCAGTTTCTGAATCGAGGGAGTTTCTGAATCGGGACAGCCTGTAGTTTCCCGGATCGCAAGTTTCTGTCTCGTAGTTTCGGAATCGGAGCGATTTTCTGAATCGTCTTCTGTGACCCCTCGCACCAACTGGAGCTCGTGGCGTACGGGTCAACCGTACCAAACCAAAGGCTGGAGAATTCTCAAAAAAAACCAGCGTGGCCAACTGGCCAACTGGCCGGCGTCTTTGGAGAAAAAAAACACAAGGAATCTATGAATCTATGCAAAGACGATCCCAACACAGGATTCTTGGCAGGAAGAATGTTCCCCACTGCGAAATATTTGGTGCTTAAGACCCCGCACATCGACAAGTCACAACAGAGACTTGTAGGTGGCAGCTGCCACGTTGAAGGCGCGGCAGCTGCAGGTGAATCAAAGCCACAGCTTTGTCTTTCCATCTGCCACCCCTCCCAACCCAAAAAATGATCATAGGGTCAACAGGCCCGGCCCTATATAGTGATGCTCCATGTTCTTTCATTCATGAGTCTGCGGGCCCCCACCCAAAGGGTCCCAGCAACTGGACATGAGCCCAGCAACTGGACATCGGCTGTATGTGAAGGTGCTCATGGGTGTGGCTCGGCACGCAGCAGCCTCCGGGCTGCTTGGACATCGCATCGGATTGGATCGTCAATCCCAATGGGATTGATTGAAACGCGTTTCCCGAAAGAAAAGATTCAGCATGGTTCCTTTTTCGTAAGTAAAAAGATGTAAAAACTACCTGTGGAGTCATCTACCTCCAGAGAGTCTCTTCACTGCCAGCCAGATGTTCACATCCCCGCAGAGCCACCGAAAGGATCCGAGTCCCGTTTTTCTGCGATGGTTCGGACACTTCTGGGGTGAAGAAAGGGGTGTTTGAAAAATAGTAAGAATTGGCAGGCGCGGCGTTCCAACCCCCCTGGATGAATGGTTCGGGAGACCCCTGGAGCTCGGTCGACGTCCTAGCTGGGCGAGAAGAGAGGTGGGGGAGTCTCCCTATTGAAATACACACCCTCCAGGCACACATGGTCATGTTTGAAGGGGTTCAGACATCATCGATGTCGGCTCCCGGGATCGGTCGATGAAGACGTCATCTGTGATTAGGGAAGACGTCGACGAGCGACTACTCACCAGGCAAAGGAGCGATCTTGAAGGGTGAAAGGCGAAGATGATCCATGTATGAACACGTCTTCATCCGACCCTGTCCTCCACACGGTATCGATCGGTCGAGTCCGCACTTTGCACCTCACCCGGTCCGTGAGTATGCTAGCTAGCAAGGGCATCTCTGGTCAGTGGGTTCTGGTTGGTTCTAGGGTCCCGGAATGAGGAAACACTTCGGATGCCGTGCGGGGCGGGCGTGGGCCGCGAGATTCTTCTTTTGGTTTGGACGTTCTGCGAAACGTACTCCCGTCGGCACCAGCACGCAGATTGGAGCCCCCACTCAGCCACGAACAAGCAGGGCGCCCCTGGGCTCTGCTTTGGGGTTCTCCGGCTCACCTTGTTGGAAGCCTCACACCCGAGACCAGCCACTCCCTGGGGCTCACCTAGGTCGTAAAAATCCACCAAGGAAATCCAAAGAATGCTCAAAACAGCCTACCAACAAGCCTACCAACAAGCCCCGTTTGGTCAACCCCGTCTTTTCCAACCCAACATGCCCGCATCAAAAGCAGGCGGCCTTGCCACCAGTGGAGCATGATCACTTGGCCGCTGGGATCTGCGACTGGTCTAAACAGCTGCAGAATGGCTAGACAGAATCCACCAACAGGCCGTGCCACTCCAAACCCGGAGCGCTTAGCCCAGGTAGGTCGACCTCCTGGCTGTAGTCTAGTCTATTCTCTTCCTTTCTGGGACCTGGGTGTTCATGGGTGGTTCATGGGTGTCCACCCGACCAAGAACAGCCATAGCGAAGCTGCACACCTTGTGTCTCGGCTACACGATGCTGGCATCGATGCTGAAGCTCAGAGGGGGTGACCAAAACCTCGCTGGGCTGTAAGACAGGTGACCAAGCGAGGGCTTTGGCAAGTGCACTGCAGCCAGTACGCCAGTTCGGGGGGGACTTCTGCTGAGATCTTGGACCATTGGATGCAGCAGAAGCCGCCCAGAAGGCCCTGGGCGGCCCAACACCGGACTTCAAATCGTATTCGAACACACTCATGTCATATGGGTCTGAATAAAAATAGGGAGACCTCCCAGGCGTTCCGACCCTGAAAGGAGGAATCCTCCGTCTACGCCGCTGTTCAAACGACGCTCGCTGAGACCGACGCATAAACGCTCCGCCAGCTCTGCCTGGAGCGACCGGCTCGGGTCGTCTGCCCAACATCGTGGCAGGCCACCATGGAGGACGAGACCTCAGGCGGAAAGCAGGTTCGACTCAGTGCAGGGGGCCTCCTTCGAGTCCAGTGGATCCAGAGACCAGCAGAGTAGAGAAGGTCACCAGTTCCTAAAGACCAAAAGCTGGTTCCTTCTAAGGTAGCTGGGATCCACTGGGTCAGGCCATAGACCTAGTTGGTAGGGTTCCAAAGGTTGGCATTGGCCTCTAGGCGTTCATGGTCTGTTGCGTTCACAGCTTCAGTGCAGGCACGAAACCATTTTGGATAGCACATGATCTATTCACTCTTCAAAATTAAGTGTTAGTTTGCTCCTCCAGCATGCTTTGGATGCCAATTCGGCCCGTGGCCCGTGGGTGTCCCCTTGCACACTGACCCAAAGTGCTGAGGACTCCTCAACCCATGTCCTCCAACAAAGAAAGGCATATAATGAAAGGCACTATGAAAGGCATATAGCCGCCGCACGGACGAGCACCACCGCCCTTGGTGTTTTATCTATTATCCAGGTCTGCAGGTCTTCCTCGAGGGTCGCGCAGGGTCAGTGAACCAAGACGTGAACCAACACCACCTTGGAGCACGGGTTATCCAGATTTCATCCATTTGTTGATACACTCAACGGTTCACTGCTCCCTTTTCTGTGCCACGCCTCCTCGAGGCGTTCGACCGTTCGGGTTTCTGATCGACGGATTCAGAGCTTCTGATCGACTGCTCCGATGTGGAGCTTCGGATTGAGCCCCAAACGACGGTCTCCGACCTGAAGAATTTATTGGTGGGCCTCCACCAGTGACGCGCGGGCCGAAAATTAGGCCAAACGTTCGCAAACTACTTACCTGCTACCTCTGGTTGGGGTGCATCAATTTGTGTCACTTTCCTCTTCAGTCACTATATTCAAGTGTGCTGTATGCCGCTGTATGCCTTCTTCGCTTCATCTAGATTGAAAGAATCCACTTCATGTTTGGATTGCTGCTCACGCGCGGTATCTTGGATTACTGTACTTCCTTCTTTGCTTGACAAATTTGTCCTAAACTCATTGCCAAAGATGTTCCCAGTTGCCAGCCTGATTCAAAGCCTGTCACGCTGTTCCAGGTTGCCATAGGTCTTGTGCTGATCGAATGCCAGGGGTTGATCCGTTCTTGATCCAGTTGGTCGTCGCAGTATATCGCAGGCAAACCACGCCAGGATCTCCCCTTCCTCCCCTGGATGAAGCCCAGATTCAACCGGACCCTGCCGCCTTCCGCTTTGGAGGTCATGCAACTTTGCCGCTCTTGGGAGGTGCCGTCGATGAACGAAAGAATCTCCTTCCCCAAAAAGGTGGGCCGGCGCCGTCCCACTTTTCTTCCGTGTCCTTATTCAGGCGTGTGTGTGTGTGTCACACCCTGTTTCTAAGGGTTTTCCATGTTCCCACCTTTTTCCACTGAAGCAGGGGGCACAGGCCCATCGTGGATACCTGTGCCAACGAAGCTGTTCCACGATGGGGGATGCGGAGTTTGATCACCTCCGTGTACCTGCGACCAACTTTTGCTCAAGCTGTTCCAATCTTCTTTTTTGCTTCCATGGTTGTTCATGATACCTCCCACAAACCCACCGCCACTTTGCGACGTTTTGCAGCCGACTTTGAGTGTCAGAGCGTTTTCGAGCGCAACTGCAAACATTGTTCAACAATACGGTTTTTTGCGGACTCATGCACCTTTCCGTTCCCTCACCTTCCTTCCCATCGTGGTAACTGAGTGTAACTGAAAACCAATGTCGAAGTGTGTGTGTGTGTGTGCGTGTGCCCCTTGAAGTCACAGGGATCCACTTGGATTGTGTTGCTTTTGTTTTTTCCCTTTGTTAAGCAGGGGGTGCCAGGGATGCACACTGGACTGGCACCAACGAAGACGCCAGTGCTGCACCTGTGAAATCAATCCGGGACGCTGGATTGACGTACCTGCTTTGAGAAGAACCTACGTAAGTGCAAAGCTGTCTCATTCTTTGTTGTGCAGTAAGCGTCTAATGCAGCGGCGATTCGCCTTGGAGTGTTTGGACCTTTTGAGCTCAGACTTGCACAACCCGCCGTCACCCTGTCGCCGCCGTTCGCCCTCGTGTTTATAGGTTTGGGAGGCCTCAAACTCACTACCTGGAACCTTAGGCGGTTTTACTTAGGCTGGCGTGTGGCACCGTATTCGCATCAGTACGCATTTCTATAAGTGTGTGTGTGTGTTGTGTGTGTCCCACCCTGTTCCTTGTAGATTATCGGATGAAACTCTGTCCAAGTGTGTGTCCCTCCCCCCCATGTCCGGGCCTTGTTCAGGTCTTTGGCTGGGGGAGTCGGCTGCGAACCGTTACGAAAAAAACCAACCAACTCACGCAACTCCGCACAGTCGAAGAGCAAGCAGTAGACTACACAACAACTTCAAGCACATCAATAGTGACAAAAAATGGACCTCGACTCAACAGTCGTTTATGTTTGAATCCTTTGATTATGCAAGGGTGCTTGATAAGTCCATTTCGTTCTCTTTAGAACTTTAGAATGTTTTGGTGGCAGTTGTTTCTCATTCGTTATCGATTAAAAAAAACGACTGAACTAAACCTTTGGAACCCTGGTCACTGGATTTCCGTTTGTACATTGCCATTTTTGGTGGCATGGAGGCGCGCATAGCGATAGCTCACTCCCAGCGATGGCCTCATGCCAATCGCCAGGTGGAGATGGTGAGCACAAATGTGTGCTGGGTCACAGCTGTCCTTTTGGCAGAAAATCGTTGGGCATTCACCCCTCCGTTCGATGATTTTGGACACCTCCGTTCGATGTTCCAACCAAAAGGAGAAGGACACCTATATTGCTCTAACACGGCTACTCAAAGAGTGCAAAGACTGGCTGTGAGGTGGACCTTGCATGGCCTTTCTCTACCCAACGCGCCCCTTGGTTCGGCAGGGCGTTTCACGCCAGGCCAAGCAGGTCCAGATCTTCAAATTCAGCCGAGTCCAAAATTGCCAATGGAAGCTGCAAGGACAATCTACTTTGATTCGTCCAGAAAACGCTTCAGCATCCAATGGAAAAGAGTCCAGGACATGAACCAAAATCAACGGTTCAAAAGTCCTTGAGTTGCATAATCATCTCATATCGATCTCTCTTCTTGTCCACCCTGGTGACCAGAGACTCCGGTTCTTGCTGAACCTGGTGAAGACTCCGGCACAGCAACCTGCGGGCCCAGTGACCCAAAACGCTGGACACTCTTTTCCGAACACATAAGCCATGGTTTTTGTGTTCGTAAGACTACTTTCCACAAGAACAGGAAAAAAAAAAGAAACATCCACCAGGGGTCACAAGACGGGGTGGTTTTAGTCCCAGTGAGTGGATGTTTTGGGCACCCCGACTTCCTCCAAGTTCGGCACCCCGTCTTGTGACTGCTGGCACAAGAACACCGAATGTCATGTGTTTCGCTTTCGCTTTCGCCCGTCGGCTCGTTTCGGCAAACGATGTACGCCAGGGCCGCTCTGAGCGGGGCGGCGGCGGCCGAGACGCCCGAAGACGACGTGTCAAATGAAGCAACACGACACCGGCAAAGACAGTCATCAGCAAGCATCATATGGATGTGTATTCGAATCTAAAGTGGGTAGACCCCCCAGTGAAAGACACCCTGCCAGGTTCGGGAAATTGACCAGTTGACCCAGCCACATCTAGAGATACCCTCGCACCAGACTTGATCACCTCGCACATTCCCACTTTATGACATATGGGGGTGTTCATTTAATAATAGGGAGACCCCCCTTCTTCCCTTCCTCCAGGGCCTGGGGGTCGTTGTCTGGGTTTGAGCTACCCATATCTACCAAAGGCCAACACATCAACACATGAAGCTTCACCAAATCATGTACATCACCACGCGCCAACCAAAACCGATCAAAACCGTCGGCATCACATGTCGGCATCACACTGTCCCCACACGAACCACTCACATCACATCTTGTTGTCCTTCTTCACGCCACAAGGACCCGAACCCGTGACCTGACCCGTCACGCAATCCCGGCGTTGGGACCGGGAAACGGCCGCGTGAACGCCGAAGCACGTCGACGGCAGCAGGTAGATTCGGTAGATATAGCACCACACAGACAACGGCAAGAAGCACCAAAACAACGAAGCCAAAGCCAAAGTCGTCCAAACCCAAGCGAGAATTGCAAGCCGCTTGCGACCCAGGCGACCTTGCGCCATGCTCTTGGCATCGGAAACGAATGCTCAAAAAGGATTCTGTTCGTGTGAGAGGTCTGCAAGATTCGATCGCGATCCAAAAACATGTCTTTCAAAAGGCTGTGATTTCGGGAGGCGGACGGGTGTCCACATGGTCTTGGATGGTATGGAACGTAGCTGTTTCTTTGCTTGGGAAGGTCCGGGCACTGGCATCCTTCCGTTTCACAGGTCCTTCCATCTCTCCAGCCTAGCGGAGTACCTGCTGCGTTCCTTCGTGGTGTGTCGCGCCCGCAGCCGGTGCCGCGGAGTTCCATCTTCGGAGGCTCCGAGGCTGTCAGGGCCCCGTTTGCACCGCTGTCCGTGGAGCTCCAAGACTCCGAAGGCACCAAACTGACCGCTTCGGAATCCATGCGAACGCCACGCACCGGTGCACCGATCCAGGCCGAGTCCGGGCATTGGAGATGGCTGGAGGCTGGACCGAGGGACGGGCAACGACTGGGTCGTCTGGACGCCACGCGACCGGTCAGAACCGCCCGTCCGTCCGTCCGTTCCGCGTGGCCCACCCAGGCGGCCCTACCCTAGCTCTCCATAGCTGTTTGCTTTGAAGCTGAAAGGACCTCTTCAGGACCTGAATTGGACCCCAAAAACAGGGGTCTGACGACTGGGTTCCTTCCGTCTCTGCACTCCACTCCGACCGGCGTGGACCCGAAAGGACCGGTCGAGGTGTGCGACCAGTTGGGCTGGCCATTCCCTCTGCTTCAGAAACCAGAACACTTCAAGACTGTCCTGAAAATGCCTATAGGTGTTTGGCCTCCTTCTACTGCTAAATAGGATCAAAATAGGCATCTTTTCCGTTCAG